ATCGATCTGACAGCAAAACATACAGAAAAACTATGTAAAACAGACAAAAGAAATATGAGTACGTGACTGGGCATGGTGGCTCACTCCTGGAATCCCAGCACTTTGAGAGGCCAAGGCGGGTGGATCACCTGAGGTCAGAAGTTCCAGACCTGCCTGACCAACATGGCAAAACCCCGTCTCTACTAAAAATACAAAAATTAGATAGGTGTGGTGGCACGCCCCTGTAATCCCAGTTACTTGGAGGCTGAGGGAGGAGAATCGTTTGAACACCTGGGAGTCAGAGGTTACAGTTAGCTGAGATCGTGCATTCCAGCCTGGACAACAAGAGTGAAACTCTGTCTCAAACAAACAAACAAACAAACAAACAAACAAAAGAAATACAAATACAGAAGTCTCCATTTGGTTGCAGCCCTACATGCTGACGCTCAGACAATACCATCCGTTCTTACTGGGAAGCCTTTCCTGACTCTCTCAGTTAGAAGTGTTGTCTTCCATATTTCTTTTGGTTGGTTCCTCTATTATTTCACTTTTACTTCCACAGCCTACCATGGTATTATCATTATTCATACATGGTTATTCATTATATTTATAGCCTCATGAGAATAGTCTATCTTGATTAATTTTTAATTCAACATGTCTTGTTTAATGCCTTGTACCGATGACACACTCAATAAATATTGAATGAGCAAATGGATGAATACAGGATATTAAAATTATGCAGAAGGCATGTTATTTGGAGGATCTTCGGTACTATGTCCTTTTGTCTCTTGATAGTTTTTTCTTCTTGAAATATTCATTTCAGATACCCTGTCTGGAATTTAGTTTTGGGTTATTTGTACAAAGCAATTTTTTATAGTTGACAAAACAGACATAAGGCAAATCAGTCTAGATGTGAAGAGTAATTGGAACAGGTTTGTGGTGTGATACCGCCAGGTTTTGAATGAGGCAAGGCTTCTTTTAGCTAGTAGAAGAGTAATTGGTGATCATTAGGGAGAATTAACTTGCTGACAAAATGCAAAATGCAACAGGAGGACTAATTAGAAGATATATTCTTTAGGACTAAGTTTGACTCTGAGTGAAGATACCCCAAAATAACAGCTATTCTAGAGAACAGAAGTTTATTTTATTTGCACGGATGAGCCTGGAAGTGGACATTGCACAGTGTCTGGGACCTGGGCTTCTTTCATACTGTTGCTCTCCTATGGGTGACCTCCATCTTCCATGTCACCTCAAAATGTCAAGAAGACACGAGCTCCAGCTATCAAGACTGCATGCATGCCTGCCCAGCCACCAGAAAGGAAAGGAGAGAAGGGAAAGGGCAACCTTCCTCCTTTTAAGGATATTTCTGGAAAATAGCACATAATTCTATCATTTATATTCCATTGTCCAGAGTTTAGTTATACAAATAGTTTTAAAGGAGGCTGAGGAATGTTATTTTTCTTCTGGACAGACATATGCCCATGTAAAAATATGCAGTCTATTATTGAGAAAAGGTAGAATGGATATTAAAGAATAAATTAGCAGAATTTCCACTGATAGTTTAATGATCAGCATGTAACTTTTGAATCTCCCCAAAACTTTACTGATAGCCTACTCTTTGCCCTACCAACAACATAACCAATCAATTAGGCACATATATTGTATATGTATTATATATATTCTTGCAATAAAGTAAGCTAGAGAAAAGAAAATATTAAGAAAACCATGCTGGGTGCAGTGGCTCATATAATCCCAGCACTTTGGGAGACCGAGGTGGGTGGATTGCTTGAGGTCAAGAGTTTGAGACCACCCTGGCCAACGTAGTGAAACCCTATCTCTACTAAAAATACAAAAAATTAGCTGGGTGTGGTGTCGCATGCCTGTAGTCTCACCTACTCAGGAGGCTGAGGCAGAAGAATCACTAGAACCCAGGAGGCAGAGGTTGTAGTGAGCCGAGATCGTGCCATTGCACTCCAGCCTGGGAGATAGAGTGAGACTCCATCTAAAAAAAAAAAACCCAAACAAACAAACAAACAACAACATCAAAAAAAACCATAGGAAGAAAAAATATATTTACTATTCATTAAGTAGAAGTGGATCATCATAAAAGTCTTCATCCTCATCTTCATGTTGAATAGGCTGTGGAGGGGGAAGAGACAGGGTTGGTCTTGCTGTCTCAGGTGGCAGAGATGGAAGAGATTTTCCATGTATGTGAACCCACACAGTTTAAACTTGAATTGCTCATAAAATAAAAAGCAGCAGCACACATTATCCCTTTTTAAAATTTGTTTAGAATTTGCTTGCTTATACTTACCTATCCAAATTGGAAGACAGTGGAAATTTTGGCTTGTATAGTATTTTGATTCTCTTGGAACTATTTTTAAAGCTTTAGCTGAATGTTATTTATTCCAAAGTAATGAGTTCTAGAGGTAGTATCTATTTTGTTAGTTTATTTTAGTTCACACTTAATTATATTCAAAAGCAGTATAATTTCTTTCTTTTTCTTTTTTTCTTTTTGAGATGGAGGCTTGCTCTGTCACTCAGGCTGGAGGGCGGCAGCACAATCTCAGCTCGTTACAACCTCTGCCTCCCAGGTTCAAGTCATTCTCCTGTCTCAGCCTCCCAAGTAGCTGGGACTATAGGCATAAGCCACCACACTTGGCCTAAAAAGTAATGAAATTTCTTATGTGTTCTTGACTATTCTTAAAACAGCCAGTTAACTAAATATATAGATTGGCAGATTAAAGCTTCTAGAAAATATTTCCATGACACATAGAAAAGACATTTAAGGTGGGTACAGTGACTCATGCCTGTAATCCTAGAGCTTTGGGAGTCTATGATGGGAGATTTGCTTGAGGCCAGAAGTTCAAGACCAGCCTGAGCAACATGGTGAGACCCCATCTCTACAAAAAAAACACAAAAATTAACCAGGCATGGTGTGGCACACCTGTAGTTCCAACTACTGCGGAGGCTGAGGCAGGAGGCTCAGTTGAGCTCAGAAGATTGAGGGTACAGTGAGCTGAGATCATGCCACTGCATTCTCATGGGTAACAGAGCAAGGGCTCAATTCTTTAAAAGACATCAAAAAGGCATTTAAATTCTGCTGGACAGGTGTGGTTACTCATACCGTAATCCTGGCACTTTGGGAGGTCAAGGCAGGCGGATCACTTGAGGTCAGGAGTTCAAGACCAGCCTGGCCAACATGGAGAAACCCTGTCTCCACTAAAAATACAAAAATTAGCCAGGTGTGGTGGCGTGTGTCTGTAGTGCCAGCTACTCAGGAGGCTGAGGTGGGAGAATTGCTTGGACCTGAAAGGCGGAGGCTGCAGTGAGCCAAGATTGCACCACTGTATGCTAGCCTGGGGAACAGAGGGAGACTCTGTCTCA